CACACACACACACACACACACACACACATACATTCCTACAGGCAATTTAGAGCCATCAATCAACCTAAGGCACATATCCTTGGGACAGTGGGAGGAAGCCGGAGTACCCAGAGAGAACCCACGCAAGCATGGGGAGAGCATGCAAACTCCACACAGAAAGGTCTTGAACCCACAACCTTCTCACTGTGAGGCAACAGGCTAACCACCGTGCCTCCGTGCTGCCCTTGCACACAGTCTTAAAAAAGATTAATTTCAATATACAGTATCTACTTGTGTGAACTTTGAATGTTGATAATGGTAATATAAAATAAAAAACAAACAGTGAGGCTTCCTCATAAATGCCAAGGATGTCAATATCAAGATTCATGGTGTTTACTTCAGTTCAACTGATTTGAGTTCCAACAGTTTTTCAGATTTAAGTTAAGATAATCAATCGTTTTTAGGTGACAATAATAAGCTTACATAACTAATAAGGTGTTGAGAAAAAAGTTAGTTTTGTTATGATGATTGTTTCAGTAGTTTTGCTAGTCATTGTATATTAAATACTGTATGCTAGTAAGATGAAAGTTAAATAAAATTATTGTAGAAATTAAAGTGTTTTGTGCTGTTCAAATTTCCTTAAGCAAATTTATAATATGAACTTATAAGTGAAACAAGTTAGAAGTGGTAACAAACAAACACTGCAAAGATCTCATTTTTACAAGTGGTAACAAACACTGCAAAGATCTCATTTTTACACTAGTGTTTTTACATCCAGGTACTCTGGCTACTTCCAACTAGCTATTTAAAATAATTGCTAGCCTACCTTTGTATCGAGACACAACAGAACGTCTGCACACAGCACTGGTGTAGCGCTTATCTTCACTCTCAGCAGAAGAAGTGGTGGCCATCATATTAGCTTCAGCAATGGTACCGAGTAGTGGTGTGGTTTGTGTAGCTGATTTAGTACAGAGATTCGTGATCAACAGCTGCTGTTTGTATCTCATAATAGATTTGTGACTAGCACGGTACTTAAAGGACCAGTTAGCATTGATCCCCACTGAAGATAAAATGACTCATTTTATATACACAGACAGTAGTCCTGCAGGCTGTTCCCACTGATGGGCCATGAATCAACTTCATCCACTTGCCCAAGAATGTGCCAAGAATGTACGTTTGTTAGTTTCCAATCAGCGTAACATTGAAGGTCTTGTTTAATTGACATCCATGTTGACGGCAGTCAGTGGGCTCAAGAGCGCGCAAAAAATTTGAACTTTTCAGATGTCATCAAATATAGCATGGATTTGACTGGGCACAGGTCACTGACATGTCTGTGAAGAATTTGAGAAGCAATTCAGTTATGTAATAAAAACATAGATTTACACAAACTGTTAGTTTACATACTCTTTTTTACATCAATATGATATTCACATAGGAAAATGGCTACAAAATTGAATACCTCTTAAAATGGAAATTAAAACTTTTTAACACATACTAATGGCCTTTATTTATCCAATTTAATGCATATTATTCTGTTAACATAACTTTACCTTTAAAATTGGTTTCATCATCTTCTCAGGTCAGTTACCTTAAAAAAAACAACATTGGAGGAATCACTGTCTGGTCTCTGGACCTGGATGACTTTACTGGACAGTTCTGTAAACAAGGCAAAACCCCCATCATTAACCACCTTCATTCCCTCTTGGATTCAGGTAAACAAAATGTCAAAAGAGTCTAGTCAGTCCTATTCTAGTTAATTTATTTATTAATTTTATTTTTAGTTAATATCACCAGCATTAATTTAATCAACATTTGTTTTCTACATTTAATAATGCAAAAGGGACAATCAGTACTTTTTAATTAACAACCTCATCTGTCAATGTATATGATGTGAGGGTCAAGAAAGTTCAAGGCACACAAAAAAAAAATTGATATTCCTTTAATTTCTTCTCAGGTTTTCCAAACAATAAGATAACTCCCATACCTCCAAAAACAAGTAAAATAAACAAATCTGGAGAAACTATTGGAGAACCCTGTAATGGAAAGAGCAATGGGATTCATGCCAACCCTGATGATTCAAATTCTTTTTATCAGTGTGCCAATGAAACAGCCACCATCCAATACTGCCCCGAGGGTTTGATCTTTAATGAAAGCTGCAAATGCTGTACAGCCATTACTAAATCGACAACTACCACTCCAATAGCCACAAGATTTAAAACAACCCAATCTGGAGAAACTATGACAACACCTTGTAAAGGAAAAAGCAATGGGATTCACGCCAACCCTGATGACTCGCATTCCTTTTACCACTGTGCCAATGAAACAGCCACCATCCAATACTGCCCAGAGGGTTTGATCTTTAATGAAAGCTGCAAATGCTGTACAACCATTACTAAATCCACAACTACCACTCCAATAGCCACAAGATTTAAAACAACCCAATCTGGAGAAACTATGACAACACCTTGTATAGGAAAAAGCAATGGGATTCACGCCAACCCTGATGACTCGCATTCCTTTTACCATTGTGCCAATGAAACAGCCACCATCCAATACTGCCCAGAGGGTTTGATCTTTAATGAAAGCTGCAAATGCTGTACAACCATTACTAAATCCACAACTACCAGTCCAATAGCCACAAGATTTAAAACAACCCAATCTGGAGAAACTATGACAACACCTTGTAAAGGAAAAAGCAATGGGATTCACGCCAACCCTGATGACTCGCATTCCTTTTACCACTGTGCCAATGAAACAGCCACCATCCAATACTGCCC